TATTATTCTTATGAAATAATATATATGAAACCAAACTGGAAATAAACAATGATCATTACAACGAAAATCATTTGTATCAATTAAGCCAAGCTATCACATAATATATATGTGATAGCTTTGCTTAATTGATTGCTTGATAACAAAAAAGAGCAACATACAAGTTTCTTGCTCGTTCTTATTGTGATGAGACAGCTTCCCGAACGACCGGTAGATAAAAAAAAATTGTTATGACTATTCAAAACTGCTTATTTTAAGTTTATTTGAATAAATGATTGTCTATTCTATTCTGTATTTGTACATATAAAAAATGCTGTTGCAATAAGAAAATTCTCTTTTCGGAAGTCGGTTAAAAAGTTAGTCAATTATACAATCCATTATCTGATTGCACAAAGAAAGATTATTTCCATTTCTATCCCGTATGTAAATCATTAACAAATTTTGAAATAACTGTAACTATTTTACAAGTAAATACCAAAAGACAAATTCAGACTAACATAAATTAGGCATCATTTCAACTATATAACTAGCAAACATTTCTAGCAAATCTTTATTCAAATAACCTTAATATATGATAGTCGTCATTTTATGATCTACCAACTCATTCGGAAAACAGGGTCATTTAATTCCAATATATCAATAAATATCTACTAGACTATCTTACTACTACCACAGATAACATAATATCTACTACACATTGGTAGAAAGTAGTAGTAGTAATAAGTACAGTAACAGTAAACTATATTATTGTAAAGTTTCATTAAAAGCCATTCAGTAGGTGTTGCGTGAAAGAATAACAAACATCCATCCGCCCAGCGGAAGTTTGTGAGTGTGGAACTCACAAACTTCCGCATACTCGTAATATTAGTAAAAAAATTTAAAGACACGGTATTATCCCTAAAGGAAATATTGTACATTACGTTAATATATACAAAAACCAAAGTTAAAAGTCGTCTTCGTATCCAAAGTGCATAATGCAAAGTTGGGAATTCTACTTAGTTAAATATATTTTGGTTAAAGCAGTGAAATTATAAGAGAAGAGACATGACATTGTAGTCATTTGGAATGGCAACGAATTTTGTGCTTCCAGTGGACGGGGGAAAGTGAATTGTTGGTAATATGGACTAAGAATCCCATTGCTAACAATATCAGGTTGACCTCCACAGACTTCCCTCTGGAAACCATCGTGAGAAATTGATGATGAATTTACCACGATGGGCTATCTGACCTGACTTCATGCTCTTCTTATCGTCCACCACTGGTGCCAGCGTAAAACATTAGCGCAGGTGGTTCCACCATTCCATTATCATACATTAAAATAATAAAATTCATAATTCAAAATATCCTTATTCAAGTAGGTCTGTTACAGACTCTTATATGACAAATCTACCGTCAGTTCGGAATGATTTTGAGATGCTTCTCATCTCGAAATCATTCACATTTCACGACTGAAAAGAAACTCAGCTTCATTCTTTTCAAATAAATGTTTTACATGTTTACAATAATACAAATTCATTTTTAAATTCAAATTTGGGAGAATAGAGTGACCACAAGCATATGCTATTGCAAAAGCAAATAGTCTAATCAGTGTTCAATAATCTTTAAAACCAGCAGACTCTCAGAAATGAGTAAATTATGCTGTCAGGTTTCAGAGAGCTTGTCAAATATTAAAATGGCGCATGTACGATCTTTGCGTTGCAACAATTGACCATCCATTTTCAAAGTAAAATTCAATTATCTTCACTCGCTGTTCTGTTGTAAACTTATCCATGATAAAAATTTCCAGGGATTATATTATTTAATACTGAAAAGACAAAAAGAAATATGTTAATAGAAAAAAAGTTATTTCATTTTCAAAATGTAAAGTGACTTATAATTATTAAGCAAAATACATTGTGACATTATGGATATACCCGTAAAATATGGGTTCTCAAATTAACAGCGTACGTCATCTCCGATCGAGATTCGATTATAAAACGGAAGCTTGCAGACACGTGTATCAATTCAATTATGGAACGAGTAGCTCATCCAATCAACACGTCTTCCTATATGGTTTCAGAGGATTTGATTTCTTATTCATTAGTCGTAACCCTATGGTTAAACTTTAAAGTGTAGGTGTTTGTTGAGTCTAAATTTATATCTCCTAGCTACTAGTCCTGACTTCGAAACGGTGTTCATGTACAGTTTATAAACCTTTCTTAGACCTGCAATGAAAACTGGCAGTTTTCTATATTCTTTTAATCATATTTTAAATATGAGTGTTCTTTATATACATTTTGTTTTATACATTTCTGCACACTGCGCTCTATAAACATCTCTTTATTTTCATTTGGATCAGATGGAGGAGTATGAAATTTCGTACATTCAATTATGATTTTAAATTAAAATTATGGCAGCGAGAGGTATATCTCTCTACAATCTTCTAAAAGATCCTGGGCCTGTCTAGAACTACACTAAGGTCTATATTAGAACATGTATCTTAAGCAGAACTAGCAGCCTCCTACCAGATTTGCCTGGGCAGGGAGAGAGACACGAGCGGTGAAGGGGATAAGTTGGGTCCTGGAAGAGTTGAGAAAAAGTCAACCCGGATCACAATTCCCGGAAACTGATCGGAGCTTCCCTCTCTGCCAATTTTTCGGTCTCTTTTACACACAACACTACATTAGTTCCAATACCAACAAGAATGTAATAAATGTATTCTGTTAGTTCCAATTATTGTTATATAAGTATATATAAATATAATATATATTCTTATTTATTAAGTTTATGTGCGCATTATTGTTGGCCAATACAATAGTTTCATTCTTTTAAAATGTTTCTCCACAACGCTCTCCGTCTTACTACAACTAGTTATAAACTATATAGCTCTACTATGTAATTTATGTTGCTGCACTTAATAGTTAATTTCCCGTACTAGCTGTTTCAGCGACTTCGTCTGCCTTTTAGAGGAATATCGTTGTTCATGTAGATCTATTGCAGGACTCTTATAATAAATCACATCTACGGTGATTCAGAATGTATCATACATATGTATTGACTAATTTCAAAAGAATATGTTTATCGTAATTATATTCTATTCTGAATTTTTATAATAATATTAATTTATTTTATATCACATATTTTATACAAATAATGTACATATAGAATGACTTTTCGTTTCCAGTTTCCTTGTTGTAGAATGTCATAGATAGACGAATTCGTAATAAGCAAACCTACCTTCCGTGCAGTTCACTCGCTAATGAGAAAAGTTAGCTATTGTGTCTCAGGAGTTTTTTGTTTCAGTTTTGAGCAGTTGCAACTGCTGAAAAAGGAGACTCGTAGATCGGTACCATCGTATTCTAACAACATAGAATTCAAATTACAAAAGCAACTAATTTATATTTGTCACATTTTGACTTATGCAGCTTTTAATAATGTAGAAGAGATTCCATATATAAATGTCAATTTGAAATTTCGAACTGAAACAGGTTGAAACTGGTTTTTAATTAAGTTTTTACTATTTTTGTTAGTAAAAAGGTGTTCCTTTTATATATTTTTTATGATGTTATTTTCTGTTTATTCTTTAAGGAAAGACGAAGGGAACAGCACCCATACAGCCATGTCTGCATTTTATTTAAGATATTGTTTTACCTTAAGACTTGTTACAAATACGCTACTGTAAAAGAGATTGGAGAGTACATATTTTAACCATTTAAGACAATTCGTTGCCAGCCCTGTTAGGTATATTGATACTATTTTGTACTATTGACTAATAGAAGTAGGTATTTAAAAGATATATCATGTATCTATTATTTAATAAAAAGAATAGTCAATACAATTTGAAATGGAAGTTCTAAATTTGAAATTACTGGATTGTCATAAGATTCCCTCTATCATTTGGATAATTTACCACAGGTTTATAACTTTTCTAAAGACATAGAAGCGAGTAAAGAAAAATGAATGCACACGCATTGTCATAAATCAAAATGTATCGACTTACTATCAGGATCACAGATAACATAATATTTCGGGATTCTTTGATTGTAGAGCATATACATGACACTAAAATCGGGGGTTATATTGTAGCATGTGTAGAGAAGCGACCTGGATGATTTGGATATCTTCTTAAATATCCTTGTTTGTATATATGTTGGGACTAATTTGTTATACTGTACAATAAAGTACGATTTTACCCGCTCTGTAATTTCTCCTGGTTTTTGTATACCATGTTAGTCATTGTTTATAATTATTAAGATAGTTAAACGGCGTTTAACACGAATAATTTTGTGGTAAATAAAGGAGAGAATGAGAGGTTTATACACAATAAACACTACATATATACCATAAAATTATTCGTCATAAAACCCTTTTAACTATATTAATAATGTGTACTGAATATGAACATTTTAAAATTATATTTAGTTTTATTACGATGACAATTAACGTGACCCTGCCATGATAGTAACTTCTTTCTATAAATCCTAATCAATATTTATTCATAAGATTACCGTGTATTTATGCACACCTATTTCGTAGTCCATCCATTCTTTCTTCTCTTTTCGTTCATCCACATTCATATTCAATATCACTAAGGTATGATTCAGATGTTTATGTGTTGATATTTTAGAAATCAAATCATTGCAATTTGTTGTGGACTCCATGGTATTGCTGGCTAAACTTTTTCTATAAGAAACGTGTACGTCATTTCATCAGTGATTTTTGTATTAAAGAAAAATATACCTTTTAATTCACCCTTTTTTGCATCACAATTTTTATCAATTATCATCATATGTATTATGAAAAAACTTAAAGAACTAACAAATAGACGTACAAGAATATAATTATATCCATAAGTCATTAATGAAAATATTAAATATTAATTATATTTAAATGAAAATTCTAAATTATTATGATATATTTAGACCACTTCAACTTTTAAACAAACCATTTTTAAATTCGGAATAGCAAGAAAACCAGGTCACAACACTAGAGGATAACAAAACAAAAATAAAATAATACAAATGTTATTATAAAAATCACAGTCGTTTATTAATCATTAATAAATACTGGTAATTAAGATAAATATAGAGATTTACCAAAATCTTTAGCATAATGAAAGGTACTCGAAGAATATCTAATTAAATTCTATAAGGTAATGTCCAAGTATTGAGTAGACGAATAGTACTACGTCGTGAGTTTAAATGAAACTAATATCATTAAATTATTAATATATATAAGGAACTTATATTAAGTCATGGGCCCGATCTCCTATAAAACCTTACACTATCCCTAAGGGTACGTATAAACATATATTTAAAAGTCCACCGGCGACCTAAAAAGCTATATTTCGAAAACTATCTCGCAATCTGACCAGAGATATGAATTCGTTACTATACAAAAAAGATAACTTCAAAATATCAACTTTAATATACAAACTTCATTTGTTTCTATCCATTGTCCAGTTCGTATAATGAACAGTGAATCAATATTAATTGTGACCAATGTGTTTTTATAGCATAGGAGACAAAATAGCTTGCGGCGTACCTGATGGTAAGTGATTATACGGCCATTAGCGTTAGGAAACAACGCTTTTTATCATTAAAAGGAAGTAATTACACCATGACAATGTCATGTTCCACAGTATTTATTTATAAATATAGTAATATACAGTACAAACGTTGTGCGCAGTGTAAATTATTCATGTAAATTCGAAACGGTTATTCCTGAACATTTTCAAGAATGTTCTTGAATGTACTCATTGCATTAATCTATACAAGTAAATAAAATAGAACTGTCTGTTTGTACTTTCAAATTAGCAGCTTTTTATTAAATGCATATGAAAGTATCTCTACGGTACTTACTTTTTTATACACTCTAGTTTATCTGTTCATTCTAGCTAATCTCTGAAACGGCTGGATCGATTTTTATGAGACTTCCTCTGGAACATAGCTCATATTATAGGACATAACTTAGGCTACCTTTATTATATAAATTTTAATTTAATTAAATTAAAAAAAAAAACTACTTTCCACCTGGGCGAAATCGCAGGTACCAGCAAATTCATTATAAGTATTAGGTCATTAAAAAAGCAACTCTACGATTTCATTATATTCGTTGATAAGTAATCATATTTTTTCATTACAACTTCATTGCTATTAAATTAAAGTAGGTCCTTTAATTTCATTCCTATTACGTCACTCATATTTATAAATATCTAGAACTCATTGGGACAGTTTACATTAATATTAATCCAAAGGAATGGACACTATCACATAAATGGCCATATACCAATATACCTACATCATAACCCTGGTCAGAGCACCTATCTATAACTCCACTATCAGAATCCGTGATAAATAGAAAATATATCGCCGTTACATTGAAGCGTCCATTGTGCGTCTAGCTCTACTGCATCATCTTTAATTTGAACCTTAACACTAAATATGAGATTACACGAATAAAAACGAAGAATGCACATAAAGCGCCGGCGTCGATCCAAAAATTGGCATTATCCATTGTCATTTCCTTGAGGAACTTCTCGGGAACCCTGAAGTGGCAGTATGGTTCGGAGCAATGGAGTTTCTCTCTATCAAAGCCGTAGACCGCCAACATGGCACCTTCGAAGCCGTATCGCACGTAGCTTAAGTACGTCAGCCATTGCAAATAGCTGGGTATAGCGTTGAAGTTGACGAAGAACCCGGAGAACAGGACCACAGGTATGGTGGTGACCGGTCCGAGATAGACCCCCGTTTCGATTTTCATTGCCGCGCCAATGAGGAGACCCAAGGATTGCGCTACTAGTGCCGTGAGTATATTTATGGTCACAAACATGAGCACTCGATCCGTTTGCATCGGCTGGCCGGTCATGAAGTACACTATTATGACATAGACCCCACTGAAGACGATCTGGAAATAACAGAATATCATATTACAACTCTTTTAGAGATCAGAATAACTCTCCTAGATGTCACCATAGTGAGACTGGTAAAAGATTTTATATCAAAAAGTAACTAGAACTAAATGAATGAGACGATTGTAATACTCTAGTTTTTTCTTAAATCAATATTTGCGTTTGGACTCAATTTTATTTTTTAATAATAGAAATAGAAATAGAAATAATATTTATTCAAATAAACTCATTACAAGCACTTTTGAATAGTCATATTTTGATTCTACCACTCATTCGGAATGCAGATTCATCACAAGAAGAATGAGCAAGAAACTTGTGTGTTGCTCTTTTTAATAGATGATTTTTTTATATAAATAATTACAGTATAACAAGTAAGAGGCATGCGATAATCAACATAGAAGTCGCTACGCACTCAATATTAATGTAATCAGATAATATTGTCAGTGCTATAGATTTAAAGTTTTTCTATAAAATAAAGATATTTATTCAGCATTACCCACAGTATTTTTATTTATAGTAAATATCTTATTTACTATACAACTTAAATGCTAAAACCTGTAAAATTCCACCTTATTACACACATATGACGGGTTAGGTGGTCTAGCGGTTGAGCACACCACTTTATTTCCAATAGTCGCGGGTTCTATTCCACGCATGGTACAAATATTGGTAAAATATATGAATATATAAATATATATTCAGATATTAAAAATATATGAATATATATTTTACCATTATTTGTACCATAGCAATCATAGTGCAGATAATATATATACATAGTCTATAATTTTAATAATTAGATTCAATAAGCAGCTCTAATAATAACTACAGGTATGTACTTTAGCGTCTTGTATTTTGTTTTATCATCTAGAGATAAGTATAAAACAAAAAATATAATTTGGAAACATCATACAACGGCTTTGAAACTGAAAACTGCTGGTAAATAGGACGATTTAGTTCATATGTCAGCACGACAAAATACAACTTTCTCTGGCGGCGCAGTAGAGAGAGAGAGACATATATAGTGCCCTCCCATTTATACAATTTTAAATGTGGTCACTTCAAGAAAATGAAATTGAACCAGCAAAATAAATTGTTGCCATATAGAATAACAAAAAACTACAGAGTTTTTAAATTAGATCGATTCGTTACATAGTAGCATATCGTTATATAAAGTATAAGGAAACATCGTAATAGTTTCCCAATGTCACAATAACTGCTATTTTAATTATAATGTATAATTACCTGAAACGGAAGATCTGCCATTGTTTTCGCAAAGTAGAATGACTTCAGAGAGTACCAATAGTTGAGATGTTCTCTCACAAATACGCTCATTTCCGTCGGGACTGTAATAGAAAATAAATAAATTATTACAGATGCATTATTAAAGAGTTCAGCGTTTACTCCACTCTAATCAATCCCCCGTCCAAATCAAACGAGGGTTGAAATTATGACGACCTGAGCCAAGGTTCGAAACCATAGCGGTGCCCTCAGACTAAAGTCATATCCGTCAGTCGGGAGTTGGCCTCCAGCCGTTCTATAAGTCCTTCCTTTGGTTTGGGGTGCCATCTGCACTCGCCTCCTATCGTCCAGTGAAGCTATAAAAGCCTGGTCAACAGCATTAGAGTAGTCCGAAAAATAAGAAAGGGTTTGCTCAAAGAGTTAAGTTAAATTATTAATTTCTTCCAGAGTTAATTCCCCCAGTATGAACCAAATTTTACTGATTTGATACTCATGCATACCGCCTCAATTCTGATGGTCGGGGGTTCGTATCCTCGCTCGATTCAAACATTTGTATTCATGAATATGATTGTTTGTATTGGTCAGGGTGTTTTCTGTGTATATTGTATATGTATTTACAAATAAAATAAATAATTAAGTATTTATATCAGTTGTAGTACCCGTAACGCAAGCTCTGCTTAGCTTGGGACTAGATGGGGTTGTGTGAATTGTTCAAGGATATTTATTACAATTATTTCAATTTACTTACATGTAAGTATTGTAGGCATCATAGCTGTAAACATGGTGAACATCACAGTGAAGAATATGCAGCCAGCATTACTCATCACCTTAGCGGCGTCTGAACCGATATCGTAGTACAAAAACCCTATCAGCAACCCCACTATTGTGTGTGAGCACAGCCTCAAATGCGTCAGCATCTGATCCCGGAGTATACTCCTAAAAGTCCGTTTCAATAAGATCCAGAATTGCTTCCACCCCGATGTGGGGAAACCAGTTTTGATTGGCTTCTTCGTGAAACTCTCGCTGGAGTCTAATAACGATGTTGTGCAAGTTACAGGCGCTAGGTTTGTTGAGTTTGGTATCGGGTTTGGTTTCTCTGGGTTAGTTGCCGTCTCGGACAGGTCTATCACAGTACAGGTTGGTTTATCTGTAAAAGAAACAGTTCATTATAATTCAAGTGATAGTTATCTTTTGTTTAGAGGTTATTTGTGTGGATTGATAAGCGTACTTTGTTATTTTATACGTCATAGACAGATGTTTTAGATAGATAGATATTACGTCATAGATAGCAGGAGAATATTTAGTGCCTACCAGATATATAGAATACATTAAGGAGTATTTAAAATAGTCTTACTGAAAACTGTTTTCTTTATCGCCGTGTACAATACTGAATTCTCCGACTAGTTCAGTGAGTTTCAGAAAATTCGGTTTTGTTACATTTTACCGTTTTAATTACTCACATGAAAGTGATAAAAAATCTGATTTATAATTAATATGTACATTCTGCGTGCATGTGTCATTAATTTTTATCTGTGATTTTTATAATCGACTATACTATGTAAATGATGTAATTCTTTTTGTTATTACTTATTATAATAATAATGTTGTCTTGTTAATTAGTTTTTTAAAGTATTGTAAATGTAAAAAATAAGAGAAAATAAAATATAGGAAATATTGGTGATAGCAACTATAATATGAATACATATGAAGTACAGCCCCGACCCAAAATGCCCTCCACCATATGAATGTTTACCACTCCTGGTCACCTTCTTGATGTCATCGGTCCATCATGTAGGTGTGCACCAGACACTACGTCGACCCATACGCAGTCTCCACTCCATAACTTTTCTGTCCTATCTACCATCGCTGACTCTGCCACCCAGGATATGCCCAGCCCACTGCCACTTCAGTACCTCTGTGTTAAATAAATAAATGGACTGACCTATCACAATTTCGAGCGCTTCCGCTTTCTGAGCATTGTTCTTGCTGGGCTGGTTGTTGTAGTTGAGGTTCTGTGGCACTGATGATGACGATGAGGATGTGGAGGTCTGCGCTCGACCACAATTTCCCTTGTTCACAGCCATCACCAGCTTGTGCACCCAATCGCCATGTTCTCCAGTTGCAACCTCCATTACTGGAACAGAAATTACATATGTAAGAGATTGCTTTTAGGAATAAGCCCGCCATTTGTTTAGGACAATTTAGGACATGCCGGGTTTTTCTTCTGTAAATATTCTTATGAATAGAAATAACCTTTATTTTATGCTACCACTTATTCGGGAGGCAGACTCATCACAAGAAACACGAACAAAAATCTTGCGTGTACTCACAACACAATTTTTATTCTACCACTCATTCCGAATGCAGATTCATTACAAGAAGAACGACCAAGAAACTTAAAACATAAACAAGATGATATAGGACTAGATGGCGATGTGAATTGTCCTGAGATACCTATTATATTATTATATTCTATTAGAGAAATAACGCACCGCATCGCAATCTACCGCATCCCATCGCATCGAGAGTTCTTGAAAGGTAGCGCCTTTAGAATAATATAAGGTACAATAGCGATATGTATGTATAATTATCTTGCCGTTTAAGCAACTTTAATTGTCTGCAGAGAGATAAACTACTTCTATACGTTTACCTTGTTTTTTGTAATTACGTCAATGTAGTTGAAGCATGAAAATATTTATTGCAACGCAACATGTCGAAAACCGATAACGTAAAGAATAAATAAGTAAATAAACCTGGACACACACGGCGCTATACACACACACACAGCTTCTATTAATTGAATTGTCCTGAGACATTATATTATTATATTCTACTAAAGAAATAAGGCACCGCATCTTACCGCTCCGCATCGCAACCTACCGCATCGCATCGCATCGAGAATTCTAAATGCTACCTTTGTAATAATGTAAGGAACAATAGCGATATGTATATATAATTATCTCTCCGTTTACGCAACTTTAATTGTCTGCATAGAGATAAACTACTTCTGTACGTTTACCTTGTTTTTTTATAATTACGTCAATGTAGTTGACGCATGAAAATATGTATTGCAATGCAACAGGTCGAAAACCGATAACGTAAAGAATAAATAAGTAAATAAACCTGGAAACACACGGCGCTATACACACTCATAGAGCTTTATGGCTATTAGATTACGAAGAGTCTTTTTTGTATATACACAGAACAATCTGATATACTCATAAATGTATATACGGGGATCTAAACCGCGACGATCTTAAATAAAGCAGTTTGCTTAACCACTAGCTTGCCGAGATCGTCTAAATAATGATTTTCTCAAGTCTCTAGTCCGCAAAAGAGATTTTTTTTACTATTACTTAATAGAAAATTAACTTCAGGCAAAATGCTTCAACTGATATAAAATTGGAATCTGCTTCCATCGCAAATTAAATCTTAATGATATTTTAAACGCGAAAGTTTGTGAGTATGGATGGATGGATGTTTGTTATTCTTACACGTAAAAACTACGGAACGGATTCGATGAAATTTACATTAATATAGCTTATACATCAGAAAGACACATGGACTATAATTTAAAAAGATAGTATGTAAATTGGGCGAAATATAATGATAAATCTAAAGAAGTGTGATGCAGACGAAGTTACGCGAGTCAGTTAGTATTTGTAATAGTTTAAAGTTGGAAACGATTGCAAGACGATTGTGTTAAATAAGTCCCTGACAATCTCATTTTATCTCCATATAAATGTATCTATACATATATATATATATGTATAGATACATTAATATGGGATATAGGATATATAGAACTCTACTATATATATTATTATTATACAATTATTTTTAGCATTAAAATTTCTCTGAAAATTCAGTCTGAGTATGACGACAGAATAAGAGATATTATATTATAAAATATTATACATTAGTTATACACTATAATTGTAACAAAAACAAATTGTAAGAACTGTTTTAATAGATTTCTGCAAATTAATAATAAAAAAATAACAAGTATTTAGTTGAATATACATTAGTACATTTGTTAAACAAATACTGTCAGACAAATAAAAAGAACTTCACTAATACGGATCTCATGACTAATTAGCGACATATAATTCGAGATGAAATTAATCATCGAACAAAGAAACAAAGTGTTTTACAATGTTCGTTAGTTGTGAGTTGCAAGTTTGTGACTCATATCAGTTTTCTTGGTCACTGGGGGGAAAATATGTAAGAGCCTATACAAACGCTGTATTTATAACTTTTTTTATATAATTGGAATAGCAAACAAACTAACGGTTCAACCTGTTCGTAAGCAGTTACGAACAGGATCTAACACATCACGTTATCAGATGAGCTGTATTACCATTGAAATATTCCAAGGACAAAGATGCCATGCGTCTTATCCTGTCATTACACTTTTGTTGACCTAGTGCTAGTTGGTAGTTTGGTGGCAAACAAGCATACGGTCCATCTGATGGTAAACGCAAAAGAAAATGTAAAGTAGAAATAAAATTATTTAAAAGAGCAATACGCAAGTCTCTTGCTCATTCTTCTAGTGATAAGACAGCTATCCGAATGAGCGGTAGATTGAAAAAAATGCGATGACTATTCAAAAGTGCTTCAATGTAAGTTTATTTGTATAAATTATTTTCTATTCTATTATATTCTACTGTCATATCTCGTCCTAAAACGCCAAGGTGCTTGGCGACTTTAACATAGTTTGCTTTGGTAACTTAAGGGTCGATAGTGTGCACGTGACACCCCTGATGTTTCCGGCATCCATAGGCTACAGTAACCATTTACCATCAGATACCGTATAGTTAAGCACTATCGTAGTACAAAAAAAAACTACGTACCGTGCTCTAATCTCAACACAACGTGATATAAAATATAGAAAACAAAAACAAAAGAAGCCACTCACCGTAATCCGCTGGATTATGGTAACTTGGACAATGAAGACCCATTGATGATAAAAACGGGACCAATCCACTGACTTGTCCCTGATATATACATTGCCCTTCTGTCAGGGTGTACAAAAAGTCAAACATCTCGAATAGCCTAGCGGACGGTTGATGGATGGTACATATTATTGTTCTACCGCCCCTCGCCAATGATTTCAACAGCGATATACATTGAAAACATGAAGAACTGTCCAATCCTGATGTAGGCTCGTCGAAAAACATTACTGGAGGGTTGTTAACTAACTCTAGAGCTATCGACAATCGTTTCTTCTGACCACCAGACAGGTTTATTGTTCTCGTATCACTCGCATCTGCGAGTCCTAACATATCCAAAATTTCGTCTATAACTATCTTTTTAGCAGTGATCGTTATGTCCTTTCCGAGCTTCAGATTGGCTGAAACATTCATGGCTTCCTTGACAGTTAGATGTGGTAGCAAACAGTCGTCTTGCATGATGTAGCAAGAGAGTTTTCTGAATCGTCTCAAGTTTCTTTCTTTCCCGTTTATTAGTATGGAACCGGTGACGTTTGATGTTCTGCGAACAGAGAAAGTAAAGAGGTTATAAAAATATATAAATTGTATTAGATATGTTTGAACGTAATTGAAAACATTCTGGTATTTTTGGCAAACATACAAACGCTCGAGATGCCAACGGCGATGTTTTCTTAGGAAGTATAAACGAGTTTGGATAAGAAAAAACTAGTTGCACGAACAAAAAAACTAATAAGATATTCACGAAACTCCACGTGTGCAATATCTCATTCTTTATTTACATAAGCGGTAGTTAGGTAAGTTAGACAATATAATACAGCAGCGCTTTGATGAAAGGATTCTAATTTTTAATAACATAAACATGAGTCCCACGGATGATAGTTTTACAGACATTTTCTATATCGTTAATTTTTTTTTTTGTAATATTAAGCATGGATCTTGTAGTATATGATTCATATTTCTTACTAATATTATAAATGCGAAAGTAGCTCTGTCTGTCTGTCTCGCTTTCACGCCAAAACAGGCAGAAAAGATTGCAATGAAATTTGATACACAGATACTGTAGACCCTGAGAAAGGACATTGGTTATGTTTAATGCGAAAAAAAGGTTGTAAAGGGGAGATAAAAGTTTGTATGGATATATTGTCAGTCTAAGTAAAGTTAGATTATTGAATATTTTTTCTTTATTTGGTGAAGATCACTATAACACGCGGACATATGAATTCTTTTATAATGGAATGGTGCACCCGCCTACGCTAACGGTATACGCTGGTGTGACACGCGTGGAAACGCTAAGATGAGTATGAGGTCAGATCTGTTAGAGCATCCTAGCAAATTTACTACGAATTTAACATTATAGTTTCCAGGAAAAAGTAAATGAAATATGGACTCTATTCCCCGCATTTAGCATCTCATCTGGACAGTTGTGCGTGTAGAGCCGAGACTACTAAAGAAGCCGACCAAGGTCCTCCCAGAAGCGCAGAAATCTGGTAATTTCACAGGCCGCCATACCACCGCCATGCCGTTTCCTCTAGAATCCGTGAAGGTTTCTAGATGGTATGGCATGGTGGTTAACCTGACATTAGCAAAGAAGTTGACATTACTAACAATTACCTTTCCCTAACATGAGTTAACTAAAAGTCAATATACTTATATTATTTATAATAGTTTCAAATCTATTTTATGTTTACACTTGAGAACCCTAAAAATTAGGATACGTAGCAGAAATGTGAAAGTAAAATCTAGACAGACTTACTTTCACAAAATAGTAACACACAATCATAGCACGGCTGAGTAAGTACATAGAGACATTCAGCCCGTGCGGTAATAAATTTGTTAAATAAATATTTTCTTGTAACTAAAGAGCTAAATCATAGTCTAATACGACCACAATTAATTTAAATTACAATTTTGAAAATTACAAAGGTTCTTCCATGCTTCCGTATGTTACATATGCGGTAAAGTGTGTAATGTTTTTTTATGGAAAATTAAAGAAAAATATTAACACACTGCACTCATCTATGTAAACTATAAGTGTGCAAAATTTCATACTTCTTTGTCAGCGCAGTTTTCGTAAAAAGGGGTGCACGTTTTGGCTTCACTTTTTTTTTCGGACTACTTTAATCCTATTGGCCGCAGCTGGCCTTTACAACTTCACCGGACGTTAGGGGCGAGTGCAGTCCAAACCAGTGGAAGGACTTATGAAGCGGCTGAAGGTCAACTCCTGCCTGACGGATACGACTTTAGTCTGAGGGCAGGGCAGGAGTCAGGGGTTCGGACCTCGGCTCAGGCAGTCGTAATTTCGATCCCCGTTTGAATTGATGGGGGATCGATCGGAGGGGTGGATGAGGATTCAAGTAATCGATCGATCGAAGATTCGAAGGCGATCGGAGTAATATAATGATATTAGAATATTTATAAATAAAAACTTACTTGTATCCAGCTAAGATGTTCATGAGGGTGCTCTTTCCCGCTCCAGATGGCCCCATAATGGCGGTCAGTTCGCTCGACCTGAAGGTCCCATTGATGCACTTCAGCAAAGCCTTATATCCTCTCTTTCTGCCTTCGCTGACAGAATACGAAAGTTCAGAGAACTCGATATCGACTGGTGGCCGCTTTGGTAAATGTGTGAGGGCGGCCATAGGTTTCTTCTGCTCGCCATATCCGTTGGGGATCTTTGGTACCAGACCAGTAAGTCCGGGAGCGCCAGCGCCGCCGTTGCACAAATTCATTTGTGAAGTTCTGAAAAAATAAACGACAATTTTATTAGTACTGGTCGCCCAGTGGTCAAAATTCTACCATAATAAAAAAAAACAAAAAAATCTTTGAACCAGTATATATATACTCTTTGTGTAATTGATACTACCATGTATTTGATCCACACATCCATATGCATGTGTGGGTCAAATACATGGTAATATCATATGCATAAGCATGTGTGGGTCAAATACATGGTAATGTGTGTAATCTTTTTTAATTGATTTAATATGCATAATGCATTGATTTTTATGCATAATTTAATAATAAAAAATTATAATAATTGATATAATTAAAAAAATATATTAGTATTCTCCTTCACTATATAAACTACTATACGATACTTCACTATATAAGTGTGCAAAATTTCATACTCCTGGTGCCCCGCTAGCGTAAAGCGTTAGCGCAGACAGATGCACCATTCCATTGTCATTAATAATATATAATACATACATATTATATGCTGAACCCGCAAACGTTGTTTTGTTACATAAATTAAAATCAGAGAGAAAGAAAAAATAGAGGTTAGAAGGGAGAAAACATTTTAGTGTTATATTTATTGTTTAAGGCTACATTTTTTATTGAAATTTAACGCGAGTGAAATCGCGGGCACTGCTAATATTATATATATATTGTAGAATATTGCTTATATAGAGATGCCTTTAAGATAAGTCATAGATACAATCGTCTAGAACTGTTTCATATGAATACAAACAATTAACATTAATCATCAGGTGTCATTAATATTATGAAGATTATCATGAGATAAGACGTCAATACAACAGATTATATACACTTGCTACTAGCGATTTTACAAGACACTTCAATTTCCTTTTATTAACGTGGAGTAAATATCTAGTGACTGATATTTATCGTTTTATCAATATTGTCAATTATGTAGATAAATTCCTGAACTGGGACTGTAATGGATCGGTGGACTATATTGGTGTGTACCAGTATATGATGATAACATGTAGGTTATAATATATATTATATTATATACTAGCAGACACGACCACGCGTTGCTGTGGCTAAGGTTCTTGAATAAAATAATATTGCGACTATTGACTATATATTAATTGAGATGTAAAGCTATCCTATCTTTCAAGTTGTATCAAATTGCACACAATGTGCAAATCAAATTTGTAATCGATTCAGTTTAGGGATCCATCGTGGACAAACAACGTGACACGTGTTTTTTATATATAAAGATATATATATAGTATATTTATTATAGTGGAAGATATAGTGTGAGTTTATTATCAAACTACATTTCACCCATCTTACCCAGATACGCCATTAATTTGCTCTAATAAATATAATATACGTTTTGTTATATATACAGAATAGAATATAACAGATCATTTATTTAAATAAATTTAAATTTAAGCACTTTTGAACAGTCTTTTTTTTAACTAGCGCTCATTCGGAACGCCGACTCATCCCAAGAAATGCTCTTTTAAATAACTGTTGTTTTAAGTAAAAATACATTAATAAAGAGGCCTATTCTATAGGTTGTATAGAAGGCCCGCACTGCGGTTTCACTCGCAATCTAATTAAAAAGAAATGGCGTCCGCCCACGATCTCCGCCCCATTGAATGGTATTTATCAAATCGGCCGCACGTGTTGTTTGTATTCAATTAACATTTCATATGATTTGTTTCATTTTTCTCCACTTCTAAAAAGTAGCGTGAAATGAAAATTGTCTAAAACTTTAATATGTAAAAAACTGTATATATTTCTTTCTAATGGAGTATCGTAGTTTCATAGATAAGAGTATTTGTATAAACAAACCTATCAGCTTTATTAGTATAGACGTAGAGTACATAATTTGAAACATTACAATGGTGTTTATACGTATAATAAGTAAAAATCACGGGATCTTACCACGTTTTAAATTTATTTACTGAGTTCCCGATATTTCGGCAGTGTTTCAACCGCCATGATCACGGGTAAACTGAACAACAGTATATAAAATGGTGTTACCTTCAATTGTGCTAAAATCCATTCGCTACTCCGAAATATGAGCAGTTTTAATTAAATTAGCAAATAATCAGTTAAAATTAGGTTGAATCTTGTTAGCGGTACAGTTATAGTCAAACCATTGTTGCAAATGATGGCCACTGATCACCAATTCTCGTTTAATTTGGTAAGTATACTAATAACGTTTCGCCAACTTAACTGCTAATATTAACCGTTATTTTCATCTAACTGTAATTTTAGCAGTTATATTAGAACTTATTACTCCCTACTTAATAATACTCCAGAACAATACGCACATCGATATTGAGTCCCGATCTAAACAGAAATTGTGTTATGGGTGTTAGATAATTGTTACAAAATCTTATATACTTATATATATACAAAATCATACTTATGAATATATTTTTGGAACCGAACCCGTAAAGATCGAAATTAAGGCGGCGTTTTAAATAAGGTAAAGGGTTACAATATAAATAATTCGACGTTCATAAGCGGCTAAAATGTCCCACATGCATAAATGATTTTTTAATTTGATAAAGTTATACAGAGTGTAGTTCTTTTATTAAACCCACAAACTAAGATGTAAGCGAAGATTACAAACTTAAATTTTGTAATGAAACGAAAGGTACAATATCCATCATAGAAAAAGCCAAAATGGCTGGAACTGTATTATAGTTATCCGATATTTAGAGTTACAACTCGTTGGAACGCAGCCAACTGACGTGTTGCGTTACGAAACTGCCCAGAATTCGATGCCTGTGTGGATATAATGTAGTTCTTGTTATGGAGTTCATTCATTCATTCATAATTTAAGAGCTACGCTCTTGTCGGTGGAGCTATTGCCACTTTCCGTGATCTTCCATCATGCTCTTTAATTCTTGATACGACACGACTCCCATTTTGTCCTCAATTTGTTTGATGTAGCTATTCCTTGGTCTTCCCCTCCCTCTCTTTCCTTCTATTTTCCCCTCAATAATAATTTTCATGAAATCATCGGGCCGTATCAAGTGTCCTAACATTTTTCCTCGTCTTGTTATGGTGTATACATAGTTTATTACTTTCCAATTATTATTCCAATTACTTTCCAGTTAGTGCTTCAAAGAAAAGTCTATTTTTACTACAGCGAAGCTAACTAGTTATTAATAAACTGAAGAAGTAATATTTTATGTACTGTTGTTTTAATGGATAAGCTATCAACAAGGTATATATGTACGTATAGGATTAATTCATCATCATCATTTCAGTCCGGAAGACGTCCACTGGTGAACAAAGGCCTCCCTCAAAGATCTCCACGACGATCGGTCTTGCGGTGCAAGAATTAATTATGATTTTGATAACAAACGTTATAGAGGTAGATTTATATCAGCGTCGTATGCGTAGGTACCTTTGTCTCACATATTTCAGCCGTCAGCAGTTTGTTTTCAAATTCAAAAAGGATTGATTCATGTAGGACATATTAGCCACTTATGAACGTCAACTTTTTTATATTATAATTTTATTTTTTTTTCCCTACCGTCCAGTTCAGTATATAGATCCAATTGAGAAGAACTGGCAAGAAACTCAATTGATTTTTATTTTTAAAGCTATGTTTTGATTGTACGGTGCAGATTAGGCAATGAAATTATACGAGAAATGAAATAAGAGGCATAATACCACTCATGCATTGCCATTCTAGGCTCTAGTCTAGAACTCTAGAATCGTATTGAATATTTGAATGAAAGCATTTTTCAATAATTTCCTGTCCAGCTCTGCTTGTGTATTTGATGAATTTATATACACGTACCTAATACCGATATTATGAATTTATTATACGTAATCTAAAGATTTTGAATCGGTTGTCACATGATAACGTGATAACCGTAGTGCTGTTCATGTATATAGGTTACCGCTTACCAGGTGTGTGGTCAGTCTGCTTGCCATACCAATTACAAAAATTACATATAGAAACTGTCTATAAAATCAGTTGCTACTATTGACATCCTGTAAAAACTTCGGCCTGTATGTCTATAGGTCACGGTCTTTATTTCAGTAACAATTTGCTAGCGATGTTGAAATTTGGCACAACTTTAGAAGCTATTTGCTCACATGCATCCGCAGTGAAAGTATTTTATAAATAATTTTCTTATTTATCGCGTATTGTCTGAAGGAAAAAAACGTAATAATAAAGAATTAGAAATTATATAATTATATACTAATCATAGTAAAAAATAAAGTCGCTGTCGCTGTCTGTCCGTCCCTGTGTATGCTTAAATCTTTAAAAAGACGCAACGGATTTTGAAGCGGTTTTTTTAACAGATAGAGTGATTCTAGAAGAAGGTTTATATACATAATACACCCGTGCGAAGCCGGGGCGAGTAACTAGTTATTAATAAACTGAAGAAGTAATATTTTATGTACTGTTGTTTTAATGGATAAGCTATCAATCTAATAAAAAGAGCAAGGTATATATGTATGTATAGGCTGTACTTTACTTTAAGGGTACAAAGAACCTGAAGCCATTCATATATATATATATATATATATATATATTAATCATTTTCTATTTTAGGTAGTACAAGTAGCAGTGTCAATGACAAGAGTAGTATTGTTGACAGTTCATTTCTAACTTTAAAGGCCTTGAAATAAAACTCAATGTAAGTAAACCTACAGCCATCTTTAAATAATATTAGGTCTTCATTATTCTGTATTCCGAATACTAAAGTCAATCTATACTTATAAATAAAATTGGAGTGTCTGTTTGCAATATCGAAATAACCGTTTTTACTACATACACATCAATATAAATACGGCACATACACCAAAATAACATTTTTTACAATTTTTATCTGTCTGTCTGTCTGTTTGTTCCGGCTAATCTCTAAAATGGCTGGATGGGACTGTTTTTGGCACGTAGCTGATGTAATAACTAGTAACTTAGGCTACTTTTATTTTAGAAAAATAAAGTTAAATTCCACGCGGACGAAGTCGCAGGAACAGCTATTTACAAATAAATAGATATAAATTTGGCTGACAACTAGATTCAGCTGATGATAGATTTTTTTTTTATAGAAATTATTAAACTCATAGACCGTTATATTACGCTTCTTAATTAGTATCAATCAACGCGAGGTTGAGTTGATTGACCAAATTGTAGCATATTCAACAATGTTAACTAGGTACTTAAACACTATAACAATAATTATTATATTGACAAAATACAGAAGCTGTTCAATTTTCTTATCGTAATTCCATGCTATTAATATTATAAACGCGGAAGTGAGTATGGATGGATGTTTGTTACTCTTACATGCAAAAACTACTCATTAGATTTTAATGAAACTTTGCAATAATATAGCTCATGCATCAGAATAACATATAGACTATAAATTTCATGAGGGTGAAACCGTGGGCACAGGTAGTATGGTATATAAAAATATAAATATCATAGTACTTCCAGTTGGTGTATATAGTAACAGCAAAATCGTATAACGAAATGATATATAGATACATATATCGACGATCTCAGTGGTCTAGCGGTTTAATACACCGCTTTACTTCCGGTGGTCGCGGGTTCGATTCTTCACATGGTGCAAACATTTGTATTCACGAGTATGATTGTTTATATCGGTCTGGGTGTTTTCTATGTATAACGTGTATGTATTTACGAACAAAAAAATATCTATATATTTGTATCAGTTATCTAGTACCCATAACACAAGCTTCAGCTAGTTTAACTTGGGTCTAGATGACGCTGTGTGAATTGGCTTGAAAAAAAAATCCATATGTATTAAAAATATAAATGTCACAATACTTCCATTTCGTATATATAGTAACAGCAAATGGATTATTTACCCAAAAATATCACAGTTGTTTCACGCGACACGCCATGTTAATTGGCTCAAGGGCATTCATTTCCATATAGTCGTATAACGAAATGAAATATATACAAGTACACACACGGTTTCTATGTACTTTTTATATGTAACTAGCAGTTCCCGCGATTTTGTCCGCGTAGAATTTAACTTTATTTTTCTAAAATAAAAGTAGCCTAAGTTACTCCTTATTGCATCAGCTACCTGCCAATAAAAATCCCGTCGAAATCAGTTCAGCCATTTCAGAAATTACCCGGAACAAACAGGCAGACAAAATTTTAAAAATTGTTATTTTGGTGTATGTACCGTATTTATATTCATATGCATGTAAGAAAAACAGTTATTTCAATATTACAAATATACACTCCAATTTTATATATATAAAGATATAAATATGTATGAATAAAATATATCATATGCCACAGAGTACGTAACCTATAATTTCAGAGAATGAGATGTGATTGGACATAACTGTGATATTTCTCATGTGTTGTCTAAAATGTTACGCCCACGTAAGCTACAATTTCAGGGATATCGTGATTGTTAATGTGAACTGATGACCCCATTGTTCGCAATGTACCAACTCAGCTTGACATCAACACCGTTCCCCATAGACCATTAGGAATTTCTAGTGAATTTGTCACAATGGGCTAACTGAGATCATGTTCATCTTATCATCCTCCACAGGGCATCGCCAGTATAAACTGTTAGCGCAAGTGCATGTACTAGTCCATTATCATTACATAGTATAAAACAAAGTCGCTGTCGCTATCTGTCCGTCCCTATGTATGCTTAAATCTTTAAAATTAGGCATCGATTTTGAAGCGGTTTATTTTAATAGATAGAGCGATTCAAGAGGAAGGTTTATATGTATAATACATGAACTCCCGTGTGAAACCAGGGTGCGTAGCTAGTAATCAGTAAAAAAAGACCTGTATCTTCACTGCTGTATCTCACTGTATATCTGATACAGTTTACAAAGAAAACTGCTGAAAATTGATATAAAACATACCGTCTACCTTTGAGTCGTAATAATGGATTAGCTAAGTTCTCGACAGTTCAGATGAAGTCTTAGTCTAAAAGACAGTAGTCCAAGGCGCTGTCTTAGGACTTAAGTCTTATTTTAGTATCTAGTCTTACCTACTTATACCATATGTAAAATCTAGAGATGTCAATGAACGCAGCTACTCGTATGGCACAAAATAGTAGACCATTATGCGACGTTTTTGCTGATTCTGATTAATACGGTCTCGGTGATCTAGCGATTTAGCACGTCGCTTTACATCTAATGGTCACTGGTTCGATTCCTCCCATGTTATAAACATTTGTATTCCTGACTGTAGTGAATGACATGAGTGTATGACTATTTGTATTAATGTGGGTATTTTCTATGTATATGTGTAGGTATTTATACAAAAAAATTGGGATTAGATGGCGTTGTGTGCTAGTTCTGACAGAATCATCAAGTCCCAAGTTAAGCAGGACCCAGTACAGTTCCTGGGTTATTATTTTTATACTGATTAATGGTTTACACTCATTGAAAATTCAAGGTTTAAGTAAAATGAGACTATTCGACAAATCCTCTGTATGCAGACATTTATAGTACAATAGTTTTTAAACAAAACTTTAAATTATTCAAAAGCATAACTGTAACACCGAGTGTTTATTATGTAATAAACAGTTTTCATTGTGAAAAACATGTTTCAGAATGAGAGTTCAGCCGTGAAAATGAAATTTATACAGTCGACGTTATAAAATATCTGATGTATGGAATATTATGTATCCGTGCTAATCTAATACAATAGGAGACTGTTTGACAGTGGCTCTGAAAACAATATCCGTTATGAATGCCAATATAACATTATAAGTTACTAGCTTTTGCCCGCGGCTTCGCTCGCGTTAATTTATCCCCTTAGGGGTGGAATTTATCAAAATACTTTCTTAGGGAATGCCTATATCATAGTAGCTTTATGCATGCAAAGTTTTAGCCCGATCGGTTTAAAATTGACAAAGTTTCATACAAACTTTCATCCCCTATTTTATCCCTTTGGGGGTAGAATTAATCAAAATCCTTTCTTAGCGAATGCCTACGTCATAACATCTACCTGCATGGCAAATTTCAGCCCGATCCGTCCAGTGGTTTAGGCTGTGCTTTAATAGATCACTTTGTCAGTCACCTTTGAGTTATATATATTTAGATAGAGTGATCATATTTTTTAGTTGTGGAGATTATTTATTTTTATTAATAAATCTTTAATGTAGAAATACACAAATATATGGCGGACTTAACACCATGAGGTATTTTCTCCCAGTCAACCATTGGGCAAATAGAGATAAAAGTAGGCAGTGCATTAAAAAAAATTTTTGGTATGCCATTTAAAATAAGAATGTAAAAAAACTATGATTATAAACTAGTCCGTTATAATATAATTATAGAGAATTATAACTCTCTCAAATCAAATCGAATTAAAATATGTTTATTTATGTAGGTCTATTACAGACTCTTATAAATGTCAAATCTACCATCAGTTCGGAGTGATTTCGATATGAGAAGAACTGATAAAAAACTCAGCTCGTATTCTTTTTAAATATTGTTCACAATAATATAGATTCATTTTTAAATTCAAATTTGGTAGAATAGAGTGACCAAGAATTTATAATGAATTAGTGCTATTTAGCAGTTGTATTCACATATTTTAACTTAAAAATATAAAGTTGCAACAATTATTTGAAAGAGCAACACGCAAATTTCTTTCTCATTATATGAATTTTAGCACATTTTTAATTTTTTACCTATTAAGAAAACAATCTTAACCATAATTTAAGGCCTCGATGGTCTAGCGGTTGCTACGCTTTACTTCTGAAAGTCACGGATTTGATTCCACGTACGGTACAAACATTTGTATTCATGAGTATGATTGTCTGTATCGGTCTGGGTGTTTTATATGTATACTTATCTATATACAAAAAAGGGTCTAATTATTTATATTAGTTGTCTAATACCCATAACATAAGCTCTACTTAGTTTGGAACTAGATGGCGTTGTGTGAATTTTCCAGGGATATTATTATTATAATTAGTACTACTACTTGCCGCTAAGATTTTTTTATAAATAATTATGTAATAAAGAAGAACTGACCCTGTCAACTGTCCATTGTTAAGTTGTTCAGAATAAGGTGGCGACTTCATCTGGGAGAATAAGACTTTATCATTAATTTCGCCTCGTGAGCCCCGTCCCATCAGAGGCAGATGAATTTGGGTGCCCTTCGACTCCATCTTCAGACCTGGCGTCATCGCTGCGCTATCATTATGCGGTGTATCCTGGAATTGAAGAAATAGAATTTAATATTCACATAGTATATAGTAATATAGTCTTAAACTGAAATATTTCGATCATCGAAGGATTTAGCACAACGCATAACTTCGCAATGATCACGAGTTCGATTATAAACGTTTGTATTCGTGAGTAAACTTAATGACTTCGGTGGTCTAGAGGTTTAGGGCCTTACTTCGCGATGGTCGCGGGTTCGATTCCTTGCACGGTACAAATATTTATATTCATAAGTATGATTGTGTGTATCGGTCTGGATGTTTTCTGTGTATAATGTCTATGCTATATACACATATAACACGAGTTCTGTTTAGGTCGAGACTAGATGGCAGTATACAAATTGTCCTGATTATTATTTGTATGCCTTATTTTCACGGCTTTTGCTGGTTTTTTGTGCTTTGTAGCGCATACTTTACTTAGGGGCCGAAACCAAGTAAGTGCAGTGCGTGTGTGTGTCTGTGTGTATACTTATATTGAGCCTTTTAATTTATGTCACAGGTGTTTGGTCATTTTCAATTACTTCCAGGATTTTCGGACTATTATTATCATCATCCTCCACTAATACGATATCATTAGTCCGAGCGGATGCAATATTTAATCATCATGTGTAAAAAATATAAACATTCAAGACTACGCGACTAAGGGAAGTAAGACCGTGTGCTAAAACCGCTAAACCACCAAGGTCGCTGGGTCATATTGATATGCCATGACATAATTTCCTGTTAAAAACAAACTGACTATCTAATCACGTATATAACCAAATGTGTAGTAAAGTTGAAGTTAATTTTGAGAGGGTAATAATATGGCTAGTGAAAGTAGTTAAAAAACAACATAGGTAACGGTCTCATTTTGTTAAGTAATTTTCAAATTTTTATGTTTACTTTGTTAGTAAAGGACAGTTGAGAACTTGTAACACTTAAGTTTAGAACTTATAGTCGTTTTTGGTTTTTATTATATTGATCTATCTAAATATATATACATAACTCAAAGGTGACTGACATAGTGATCTATCAACGCACAGCCCAAACCACTGGACGGATCGGGCTGAAATTTGGCATGCAGGTAGATGTTATGATGTAGGCATCACCGCTAAGAAAGGATTTTGATTAATTCTACCCCCAAAGAGATAAAATAGGGGATGAAAGTTTATATGAAACTATGTCTATTTTAAACCAATTGGGCTGAGATTTTGCATGCATAAATTCCACCCTTAAGGGGATAAATTAACGCGAACGAAGCCACGGGCAAAAGCTAGTCTACTTATAAAGGCCATAACAGAATAGCAGAGACGTTGGACTCACTGCTCCCTCTGAGTTATAGACCGTTTTGTCTCGATTATTACTTCTAATTTTTATTATAAACAGCAATAGTTTTTTATATGAGAGAAATAAAGATTATGATTAGTATTATTATATTCGCTAGCGGTGCACTAGTAGAAGATAACAGAATGAGGATAAAGTCAAGTACTAGCTAGTCTATTATGATGAAATCAGAATTATTTTAAGCGAAGACCACGTGGAAGTCGATGTGATGTCAATTGGTCGGTATATTGCTAGGAATAAGATCACTAGTACCCATTACTAAAAATCCTCTCACACCCTCGCTACAGTTCTTATTGGCGCATAAATGAAGAGTAGAAAGTTGGGTATGAAGGTCTAATGGTATACTATTCAATCTGAATCAGACCTCAAAGGTGAGCAATAAAAAAAATCTGATACTGAAACGTCTGTCGATCATCATCTGCTTCTTCCTTATCCCATTTATTTGTGGTCGGGGTAATATGTTTTTCTCTTCCATTCATCTCTGTTCGCAGTCATCTCGTTATTTACTTCCTTTCTTACCATATCATCTTTCACACAGTCCATCCATCTCTTTTTCGGCCTTCCTCTGCCCTTATAACCATCCACATTCATATGTAACACCTTCCTTAAAATATTATCTACATTCCTACGCATATCAATAATCCTAACAAAAGTAGTTTAAGATCGATACGACAGAAAATTCTTATAAAAACAATGAAATTGGTGTAACAACTACACGAAAAAGCGGTTAAATTAACATTTCAGAGGCCCTATGGTAAGGATTATACCTTAGGAAATCCGTTGTAAAAATCAATAGGCCTATTTGAATAAAACACTGCCATCCTAATGAATTTTTGAACAACTCTCGAGGGTTTTGACCCGAATAATTCAGGAACTGGACGCAAGCGTTCCCTAAATTCAATTAGGGTTGACACGTATGCTTTAGTCAGCCAATTAACTCTACAGTGCACCAAGATATTTCTGAGAATATAGTTTCATGTAGTGTCAATACCAGCTAATTCTGATAATTGATTCTCGGGACTTACTGGATAAAAAATAGGGTTGAACAAAAGCAATCGGGATACTAGACAAATATTTTCAACTACCACAGTAGGCTGTCAACTGTAATAATGATTGTTCGGGATTTAATATACACACATTGAGACGTACAAAACAAAATTAGAAAAACATTTTTATTGTTTTTTTACACTAATGTACTAGCTTTCCCACATCTGCGAAACTTGAGTGTTCTACTGGACTGACTTTTAGCAAGTCCTACAGACCATGTGATATACATTGTAATAGGAGCACAGCCAGCGACCAACAGAGCCGAAACACGAATTAAAAAAAAAAACATTATTTAAAGAGTATCTTTAGTACAATAATGGTAACCGCCAGCCAGTAGGAACTGGCGGTTACAATAAGGATATTTGGGACCCCTATGTCCCACGTATCGTGTCTGTGTCTGAAATTAACGGAGCCGTTGGCAACCCTACTTGTGACCTTCACCTTAGACTTCAGTAAAAGCTACATAACAAAAAAGGTCCAGGGTATAGTGCGTGCGTGGCTTTAATATAGTTAATAATGATCAATACACATTTCGCATGAAAATATGAAAGTACTTTTTACATAGTAACTATAAATAATCGATACAATATACATACGTCATTAAGAATATTAATTACAGTATATTTAAACAGTTAGCTTTCATAGGAGTACAAAACATATTCACACATACTTATATTTCTCACTAGTGGGATATCCCGATTTGGTTCGTGTGCTCATATATTTGTGAGTTTTATCTTATATTGTATATGGTATTAACATTATATAAAGCCTGTGTGACTCTGGAAAATAGGTACCTTTCAAACAGTGAAAGAATTTCGCAAATCTATGCAGTAGTTCGAAAAACATGAAATTTTGACACAATAAATTCCTTGTGGGTCAACAATCAACAATAAATACTTTAATAAGGATAAATTAATAATAAGAACCTATATTAAATGTTATGTATTGTATTAATAGACATAGGACATTGATACTCAATATGATCAGTGACATGTAAAATTACGCCATTACTCTTACAAAAATAAATAAATAATATTGACAGGTATAACTTAAATCTGACCCATAGTTATACTTATTTTTTTAAAGCACTGTCTACAAAAAAAACTCTGTTAGCTCTATGGTTGACTACGATAAAAATTATTTGTAAAATTTTAATAAATTAATTTATTAATTAGTATTTTTTCTTCTTAAATTTAAATAGGCCACTACTATGTATAATTTATTAACAAATATATAGACTAAGTCCCCATGTAAGGGTCCAACAAATAACCCAAGGGTCTTGTGTAAACAGACCGCCGTGTAATCATATAGTAATTGCCTATTTATTTCGTTCCAATTGAATGCTCGACCAAATAAATTATCAACACGCGCTCCAGCATTAGCTCATAGAGTAATAAATACTATTATATATATATTATAAGAAAGGCAATAAACATATTTAATAATATATTTATTGCCTTTCTTACCGGTTTCAATTAAATAAACATAATACAGAGGGATAATAATTTCAAGCTCAACATCAGCTGTTACTAATATTTTATACCTTTATTTAATTTAATCTCTCATACATAATTAATCATAATTACGACATAATTATACAATTTTCTAAGCTTCTACATTCAAATCAAAACATAAAGATGTTTTGATTTGAATGTAGATCTATTTCATGGAGGTCTATTACAGACTCTTATGATATGTCAAATCTACCGGTGTGCTTTCGAGTATGGGAAGAACTGACAAGAAACCTTTCTTTTCTATGGACTTTACAATCCACAATAAGGGCTTTTTTAATTAAAGAAAGAACTAATACTTAGTAAGGACTGGAAGTATTTCTTATACCTGTATGAACATTAAAATATGTATATAAAATTTTCTGACCTAGATTTCATATGCCGTGAAACTTCAAAACTATGTATATCTTAACATTTTAGCTAAGCATAACATATAAAGCAAATATACATGAACAACACTGCAGCATTATGTTATGATATAATGCCCATGTTAGTACTTATACGTTGCCATTCCAGAGTCTTAGGAATGGCAACATATGAGTACAAGCACCATAAATTAACAGGGTACAAGGTACGCCTCTTGTTCCCGTAATTTCATTGCCTTATACCCTTCAACCGACAACGACATACAAAACAAATGTCCTTACCAGCTGAGATAGAGGAAAACTTCTTCAAAAATCTTGTTACTTGGCAGTTATTCAACTTAAAAATGTAAAGTTACCAATAAATTATTTAAAAGAGCAACATGCAAGTTCCTTGCTCGTTCTTCTTGTGAAACGATGAGACGGCATTACGAATGTGCGATAGATGTAAAATAAGTATGAATATTCAAAAGTGCTTTAGTGTAAATTCTATTCTATTCTATCTCTGTGAGTAGTCACATTATTAAATTCGTGAATATTTTAACGGTAATCTAACTATTGGATCATTGGTGCACAGGTCACTGTATTTTTAGAGACACGCGTCATTCATACCATCCATTAATATTTAATTCAGGAAAGTCGGCGAGTTCAGTAGACAGCGTGTTTTATTTTTAGTGCCAAATAAATGTGGGCTGTCTTCATGACCTTTGAATGTAATTAGATATGCCATACACCATCAACCGACACC